GTGTGGAGCTGGGGGACGGTGTCGGGGTGGCACTCGGGGATCCTGGCCCTGCGCACGGCTGCGCAGGCGGGTACAAGACTCCCTCTCTCCTCCCTGCGCCGTGAATCCCCAGGGCCAAATTCTGGGTCCTTGCAGTCCCTGTGCTTGTGGACGCTGCCCTGTTGCTTTCCCCAGGGTTGGGGCTGGCTGATGGAGGGACGGGGCTGTCCCCGGGGGCGCAGCACCCCTCGGTGTCACAGGGGAGGATGTCCACGGTTTAACCCCAGTTGGCAACCAAGCACCACCCAGCCGCACGCCCCGCAGCCCTCCTCCAGTGGGATGGGGAGAGAATTGGAAGGGGAGTCACAGAATCACAGAATGCTTTGGGTTGGAAGGGACCTTTAAAGCTCATCCAGTCCAGCCCCCCCTGCAGTGAGCAGGGACCAGACCAGGACCAGACAGGGACCAGAGCCCTGTCCAACATCACCTTGCATGGTTCCAGGGATGGGGCCTCCACCACCTCTCTGGGTGACCCATTCCAGTGTTTCACCACCCTCATTGTAAAGAATTTCTTCCTTATATCCAGCCTAAATAGAGCCAAATAGGGAAAAATAAGAAAACCCGTGGGTTAAGAACAGTTTAATAATTAAAATAAAATAATAACAATAATAACAATGATAATAAAACCCAATAAATTGTAATGAAAAGGAAAACAACAAAAGAGAGAGAGAGGCACAAAACCCCAGGAAAAACAAGTGATGCAACCACTCGCCACCCACCACCCGATGCCCCGCCAGTCCCCAAGCAGCGCTCACCCCCCCGCCAGCCGCCTCCCCCCAGTTTATGCACTGAGCATGGTGTCATACGGTACGGCATAGCCCTCTGGCCAGTTTGGGGCCTGGCTGTGCCCCCTCCCAGCTTCTTGTGCACCTCCCAGCTGGCAGAGCATAGGAAACTGGAAAATCCTTGACTTAGTATAAACACTGCTTAGCAACAACGAGGCTAGCAGTGTGCTATCACTTATCTCATGCTAAATCCCAAACACAGCGCTACACCAGCTACTAGGAAGAAAATTAACTCTATCCCAGCCAAAACCAGGACAAGGGCACAGGGAACGGATGGATTTTTCCATGGAGCTAATTTTGTAGCTGCCAGTGCTGCTCCTGCGCTGCCCGGCAAGACAGGGGCAGAGCCAGGGCCTGGGCAAATGGGGTGGTTCATAATTAATGGGCTGGAGCTCCAGGCGTGTTCCTGTCTCCTCCTGAATTAAGGGTGTAAAAGCACGGGTTGTTATCTGGGAGCAGAGCGGGGCAAGGTGAAGTTTTCGTCATTTCTGGGGGGAAACCGCTGCCAGTGCAGGGGTCCAGCCCCCACCCCCAGCATGGCTACAGCACCCATAGGTGCAGGGGGCCTGAGCATCCTCCTGGCACAAGGCTTGGGCTCCCTCTGAAACCTGCAGTGGGGAAGAGGGCTCTGCAGGGGATGAAGGGGCCCAGCTGAAAACTGTGTTCCCCATGCTGGGGGCTTGGGGCTCCATAAACCCACCCCAGAGCTCAGGCCTGGGGCTTCGGAGCAGCTGCCCTGGTCCCGAGAGGGGAGGGCAGAGCTGGTGCTCGTGCGCTGTGCGCAGCACAGGCAGGGCACTGAGCGAGGGGTGCTGGGTGCCATTGGGTGCGCAGCACAGGCAGGGCGCTGAGCGAGGGGTGCTGGGTGCCATTGGGTGCGCAGCGCAGGCAGGGCGCTGAGCGAGGGGTGCTGGGTGCCATTGGGTGCGCAGCACAGGCAGGGCGCTGAGCGAGGGGTGCTGGGTGCCATTGGGTGC